CAACATAATTTAAAACCACAATATTTCTAAACTTGATCCATAACATGATGTGGTTGATCTTGTTATGTGAACTCCAGTTTCCACAGGCAGTTTCTTGCCATATAAATCCTGTCCGCCAGTTTCCACAGGCTTACAAAACTTTTTCCAACTGGGCCAGTGAACTCCAGTCTATAGTATTATAACCTTCGCTAATGTCCAACTTGATAATTAAGTTAGCTCCTGTGACATCATTGTGCACTTCACTAATAATTTCTTGGCATAAAAGGACATTTTCTACAATGTTCATGCCTTGTATAAATCAACATGATTAGGAGTGATCAAATAAGAGATCTGTGGTTGCACCCTAAAGACAATTAATTAGAATTAACAACCAAAAATATATTTTTTGATGTTTTGAAATTGTTTATTTGTGCTTCTTGTTGTTTGCTTTTCATTATTCGCGGCGTAATTTCACATTAATTTATCTTTCATAGTTATGTTTAATGGCAAACATTCTTCAATCCATAGTTCTACTTGTCTTGCATTACAGTGTGGTACATGAAATATGGTATTATTGTATGTATGCCATTAGAAGATACGCCTGAAGATTGCAGTAAGAAAGAAGTAAAGTTAATGTGTTCGCATTATATCTAAAACTTGAGGCTTTTTATATTATTGATTTATGTTTATCCCAAATTTTGGCAAAGTGGAGACTCACTTGTGCTAAGTTCGCATAGAAACATTCCTTCATTATTTTAAAATCACAGTCTAGTTTAAAATTTGTTTTAGGAAGAATTTAATATAAAAATTATTAATTCATTGAAATTTTAGTCAATCCTTTATATTTATTTATGTAATAGTATAATTTTAAAATACATCAACAATATCTAGGGCCGTGAATTTAGCTAAAATATTATTAATCACTCAAAAACTGACTCAAATTTTGATACGAATCAAGATCGAATTAAAATAAATGATACGAGTCAAAATTTTCGATCTATTTTTTTTGGAGCCGACCTCATTTTAGCTTGAAATCGGATCATTAACGAGCTTAGTGATGTTGGGGCTCTGAATTTAACGAATTTAGCTTGAAGATCGTTAATCTCTCGAAAATTGATTTAAATTTTGGCTAAGATCAAGATCGAATCAAAATAAACAAGTCAAGCTAAGAGATAAAATTTTGGATGGAATTTTTTTGGAGCCAATTTTGAGGGGACACCAACTAAACTCAAATAGAATGGTTAACAACCTTAACAATATCACTAATGTTAATATATTCATATAAGCGTTTTTACATGCATAGGTTTGATATTTACATATTCTTCACCTCAAAGGTTAATATTACTAAATCCATACTTCCACTAATACTTCCGTGAATTTTCCATCCCAGCGGCGAAGCCCTACTGTCTGCCTTAAGAAGCGGAGCAGTGTGGGTTTCCCATCCTTGCTGTTGACGTCGGCGAGCGTATGAAGGACGGTGAGATCAAATGCCCACGCATTTCCACGCACTGTTTAGACGTCAATTATGTTTCCAGCCTCAAGAATGATTTCCAGTAGCTTGGGAATAGAGCTTTGGTATGAAACTTGTTGCAGGCGAGACCAAGCGTTTGTAAAGATTGCTTGAGAGGAAGGATATCTGGTTCGAACATGGATCGGCAAAAACGGAGGGTAGATATGCGGGGAAAAGCAGCGGGGATGGTGCGGAGGATGCGGAAGAGGAAGGATTCGGCATCGGGCGAGGTGAGTTGGGTTTCCGGTAAAAGAAAGGATTGTCTATTCCTCGACAGGAGTGGGTGGTCATTTGGTCATTTTGGAGGCCTTCAAAAATCTCCTCAAGGCTGTGGGGGATCTGCCTACGCGAAGCGCGTATTTTCTGTCCTGACATATGATGTAACTCTACGTGTGCGATGCAGTTTATTTCTGAATTATTTTTATGTTATTTATGAGTTATTTTCAATAATCCCGAAATAATCCAGATAACCCGCGGTTCAGGTTATTTCTAGGTTATTTCGGGATTATTGAAAATAACCCAGAAATAACTTGAAAATAACTCAAGAATATTCTGCGCCGCACGTAAAGTTATGTCAGCAGTCCGCACAAAAAATTTTTTGCTACGGGAATGGTAAAAAATTTTTATATTCGCATTATATCCTCTGTAAACTCCATGGAACTTTCATGTAACCTACATGTAATCTACAAATATGTAAAAATAAAAGTGCAGAACTTATTTGTAAGTTCAGATAGGTTACAGTAAGTTACATGGAGGTTACATCGAGATTACAGGCGATATAACGCGGATATAATACGGATATAATGTAAATATAACATCCATTATGTATGGAGCGTTGCGTACGTCTTACGTATGCAAATTTTTCTCGCGGGAAGGTGCTCAGACAAAAAATTCACAAAATATTAATGGAAATTTATATTAAATTTTGAGGCGCTCAATTTGTAAATACTAAACTTTTTAAGTGTTATGTATGTAAAAACCTTTTAATTTTAAAACCCACAAAGGTCGTATTTGGTTGTTGTAATAATCATAATTTGTCATGGAAGTCATATTTGGAAGATTTAATAGTAATAATTAGCCAAAAAAAGGTCGTAGTTGAATGATATTATAGCAACAATTGGTCTTAGAAGACATTGTCAGAAGATGTGACCAAAGTAGTGTACATCGAAAATGTGCAACACGAATTATAAAGGCACTGTTGGATGGCAAAAGAGGTGATGTAGGCCCGCGAGACCTACTAAGAACGACTGAGGATCACATGCTCAGCCGGCCAACTCCCTCTTACCGGGAAGATGATGTGCCTCAGACGGATAAAGGGTAGATCACTCCTGAAGAATCTATCTGACTAGATTTACTCGAATGAACCTGTTGCCTTCAAACCAGATAGATCGAGAAAGTGAAACATATCCTCAAGTTCCAAAGTAGTTGACATTAATCCTCACCAATTCTCTGCCCGGCCACTCAACCACCTGCTTTGATGGTCGCCCGACCTAATGGCCACCCACTTTGATGGTCGCACAATCCAATAGTTGTCCGACCTAATGGCCACCCGACCAAATCCATGGGCCCCACGGGCCATATTTCTGTATGGACAAAAATGCCCCCCACACTTGCATATTTTATGGGTGCAGTATGTAATTGTACGATGACTCCTTCCAATAAATAGAGAGTCATTTTCATGAATAAAGGTTACTCAAATTTACTGTTCATTATTATGCTATTGCTCTCCCTCCCTCCCTCTCTCTCTCTCTCCCATCCTTCAAAACTATTTATTAGGCTTGTCTCCCGGACAAATTTGGATTCAACAAGTGGACAATCACTAAGGTCATAATTGTTAGTATAGCGACAGTTGCCCATAAAAGTCATAGTTGGAAGATGTAATAATAGTAGTTGGCAAAAAAGGCTTTAGTTAGTTGTTGCAATAGTAGCATTTGATCATGAAGACTGTAGTTGAAAATTTTAATAGAAGTCTATAGTCAAAAAGACTATAGTTGGTGGAGGCAATGATGGAACTTGGCTCAGAAGCTGAAGTTGAAAGTTGTAATAGTAGTGGCCGGTTATAAAAGTCATTGTTGGTTGTTGCAATAACAGCAGTTGGCCATAAAGACCATAATTGAAAATTATAACTATAGTTGGCAAAAAAGCTATGGTTGCAATAATAAAAGTTGACCATAAAGAATGGAGTTGGAAGCTATAACAATAATGGCGAATCACAAAGTTCATAGTTAGTTGCTACAATAGTGGTGTTTGTCCATCGTGATTATGGTTGTAAGATGTGGTAATAGTAGTCTGCCACAAAGGTCGTAGTTTGTTGTTCTAATCATTATAGTTAGCCATAGAAGCCATAGTTAGAAACTCTAACAACAATAGTTAGTCTCAAAGATTATAATCAGTTGTCGATTGTGACTGTTAGATGGTGATCGATGATGGCAAGTAGTAACAGAGACTGATGGTTACTCATCAAGTCTTTAATACAGGTTTTAGACACAATGATCATATTCAAACAATGACGTTTGAAGACAAGGTTCGTCGGTGGCCAAGAGTCGACGATGGATGGTGACTATCGATAGTGGTCAATGATGGCCGATGGGTGGCAGTCGATGGTGATCTGAGGCTACGGAGGTTGGTGGTTCAGGTTGGGTCTTTAATATATGTGATGGGTATAATGAATGTATTTAGACTACGACATTAACAAACAGGGGTTGCCGCCTACTGATGGTTAGGGGGTGATGCGTGGTAACGATTAGTGGTCGTTAACGATGATCAATAGATGGTGGTTGATGACTACGGAGGTTTGTGGTTATCGTCGTGCCTTCAATACAAATGTTGGTCATAACGATCGTATTCAGTTTATGATGTTTGCAAATAGAATTCACCGTTGACTCGTGATCAGTGACCAGTGGTTGGCGATGACGATTGATGATAACAGTCAGTGGTTGATGGTGACTGAAGCGTGATGGTTGTCAGTGGTTGGCGACTACAGAGGTTGATAGTTTTTCCCAGAATTTCTCTCTAGAATGGACTATGAAACTCCTATTCCTCCCCTTCTCATCCCTCAAGTGAAGAAAGAGAGTATATTTATAGCATTTTTGGGAGGGACATATTGATCTCCCTTAATCATAGATAATTTTTTTTTAATTGAGTGCCTCAAAATGCACTTCAATTGCTTGATCTAGGTTTTATTGGACTCAAACAGAACCCATTGTGAAATCATTGAATTCGTCTCGCAACATGGTCAGTTTAGTTATAAGATTTATGAAATCAGGGTCCTGGATGACCTTGAATTTAAATTTAGCATATTTAATATTTAAAAAATTACATTGAGATTTGTGCTGCGGGATGAGGCATCAATTATGCATGCAGTGCACATGCACCTAATCAAATGGAAACAAACTCTTATACTTTATAGAGAATCAAATAACTCATGAGCATTCATAAAATATTATAATCAGAAACTTTTTCAACTCTACCATAATCAATGAATAAAAATTTAAGTTTAAGATTAAAAAATTTCTCCAACAGCAACATATTTTTTTCACAAAGACGAACTCTTTGGTTTCCTTCCACTCTGGAACAAGTAATGACGTTCTTTTTCTAACTCCATTGTTATTTTAGATTTGCCGTTTTTCTGTTGTACCCACATCAGGCGTTTGCTCAGCTGTGCCCTCTGGTCTTCTCGCCCCACTCCGCCATTTGTCCGCTGCGAGGAAACCCTAGCCGGGCAAATAATTTGATGAGTTTCCATGGCAGAGAAAGGAGAGGAAAAGCTTATTGAAGTTGCCCGTCATATCGCCAAAACCCTAGGCCGCACCGACACCATGGCCGACGACATCCTCCAAATCTTCTCCAACTTCGACCGCCGTTTCTCCCGCGAGAACCTCGCCGCCGACCGCCTCTCGGGCGGATCCATCACCAAAGAACACTATTCCTCACTCGCCCCCCCCCGACCGCCTCTCGGGCGGATCCATCACCGAAGAACACTATTCCTCTCTCGACCACCACTTTTCCCGATTCCTCTCCTCCGATAAATCAATCTGGTCCGATTCTTCCGACGCCGCCGCGTTCCTCGAGGCCGTCGATGCACTCATCTCCGCCGTACGTGGTCTTCTCCCCCCGGCGCTGGAACACGCCAACGATCTCTTACAGCAGTGTATGCTCCGGCTCGAGGACGAGTTCAGGTCGCTCATCGAGAATCCTTTCGGCGTCTCCCCTTACGAACCCGTACCCCCTCCTGGATTTGATTCCGATGGCGAAGACTCCGAAGAGGAGGAAGAAGATCAGATCCCGGTGGCGCCGCCGGTGACTGATTATGACTTTGTAATCGACGCGACTCTCTTCCGCCAGGCTCCGTAGCCGATCTCCATGAGATTAGCAAAAGGATGTTCGCTGCTGGTTTTGGAAGGGAGTGCGCCCACGCGTATAGCCTAGCCCGTCGAGATTTTCTTGAGGAAAGCATCTGCCGGTTAGGGATCCGGCACCGTGCCGCTACAGAAACCGTCACCGCCGACGAAGTCCAGGCCGCTCCAGGAATGGAGCTCGAGGATGAGATCCGCCGTTGGGTTAAAGCTGTGAATGTCGCGTTCCGCATACTCCTTCCCAGCGAACGCCGGCGCTCTGCCACCGCATCTTCGCCGGGCTCTCTTCCATCTCCGACCTCTCCTTTGCTGAGGCCTGCCGTGGCCCTGCGATCCAGCTTCTGAGATTCGGTGATGCAATTGCGTCATTTAGCCGGTCGCCGGAGAGGCTTTTCCGGGTTGTGGACATGTACGAGGCCATTCGTGAAGTAATCCCGGAGCTCGACGCATTATTCTGCGATAAGTACTCGGCATTTATCTGCACGGAGGCCGTTGCGCTCTGGAAGAAGTTGGGAGCAGCGATTCGCGGGATTTTCACCGAGCTAGATAACTTGATCCGGCGAGATCCGGCAACAGCAGCGGTGCCTGGCGGAGGGCTTCATCCCATTACCCGCTATGTAATGAATTACCTCCGGGCAGCTTGCGCTTCCCGGCAAACTCTCGAGGAGGTGATGGACGAGGACGGAATGGGTATCGCCGAAACCCTAGACCGACCATCATCGCCGCTCGCCATCCAGATCGCATGGATCTTGGAAGTACTGCAAGGAAATCTTGAGGCAAAGGCTAAGGCCTACCGCGAACCAGCATTAAGCTGCATCTTTCTGATGAACAATGGGAGGTATATGATGCAGAAGGTGAGGGATAGCAACGAATTGACGATTCTAATGGGTGAGGAATGGATTCGGCGGCAGGCAGCGAGAGAGCGAAGGTGGGGATCAGAATACCAGAAAAGCACCTGGAACAAGATGACAGCAGTGTTGAGGGTCGACAGTGGTGGCCGAGCACCAGAAGCGCCGGCGCTAAGGGAGAGGTTGAAGGTCTTCAACGTGTACTTCGAGGAGACATGTAGGGTGCAGAGCAGTTGGGTGGTGTCGGACGAGAGGCTGAGAGCGGAGATGAGGATGACGGCGGTCGGGATTGTGATGCCGGCCTACCGGAGGTTTCTAGGGGTTTATAGAGGAGTGGTGGAGGGAGGGAAGCATGGGGATAGGAATGTCAAGCATAGCGCACAAGAAGTTGAGGCGCGGATCAATGAGCTATTCATTGCCAAATCATAAGGTGCAGATTAGGCGTGGATTAGTGGTATTTGCGATGGTATTACAGTGATATTGGGATGATATTGAGATGATATTGAGGTGCAATACTATCCAAATATCAAAGTCTGCGCATATGCCCGGCTTAAGCAATGTTCGCTCGGCCTTAAGAGGTGTGTACTTGTAAACTTATTATTATGTGATTTTAGTTTAGTGAATTGATTATGTGATCCTTTTGTAATTATTTATGTAATTAGTTTTAGAGAGCTTGTGATTGTTGCAAATGTTTTTTTATAGATTAAGTTTCATATTGGTTGGATTTATTTCTTTGTTAGGAGCTATTATTGCCGCGCTGTGCGGCTGTGATCGGAGGGCACGCGCAGCTGTGCGTGCTCCCTCCGCACCTAATAATTAGATCTTTGTTAGGTTTTTGTTTTGGTTTGATTACTAGGTTTGAAATGATCTTAGAGTAAAGTCCAATTATGTATGAATAAATCGGGCATTGATAGACATGCCACACAATTTTTATGTAGTTATATACCTAATACCTAAACTTCATGTTTTTTATATAACACTATCTTCAACATCACATCCAAAGTACCACCTAAAAGTGAAATATACATTTTCATGTATAACTTTATGATGCGAAATTGTTAAAAGTGCAAATAACAAATTTTAGGTGTTAGATATGTAAATACATTAAGATTATGTGGTATGTATGTAAATTTTCCTTTTAATTTCTAAATGAGACGTCTTCCCTTTTACAAAATTATTAAATTTAAAAGATATGAGAAAATATAGATTTAGGAGATTTGTTTTAACATGTCTAATCTATGACTAAGCAATGAAAATTTATTTTGTATTTATCCCAAAGCAAAATTAATTAATTTTAATTATTTTTTGGTTCTAAATTTGGTGAGGGTATACTAACCTATTTTTTTTATAGATTAAAATGAAGCAAAAATAATGGATGCATTTCGAGCTGTTGTTTTTTTAAGAAACAACTGTGAACATGGTTTCATAACTACGGTATGTTTGGACAATTTGTTGTGTGTCAGCTGTTCTGACAAAAAGGTAATTATGCCCTTACAGATATAAATTAGATAAATGACTGCATTTTTCAAAATATTTATATTAGAATGAAAAAAATAGTTTCAACAATATATAAAACATGTCGGGAGTCGATTTTCTCCAATACATTAATTTTAAGACATCACTTTATGTATAATATTACAATAATAAAAATAAATAATGTTATAATGTTGTTCTCCTTCATGTCGATATGTAGTTTTCTATCCATAACATGTCTCCTGTCTTGATTGTTGTATGGAGTGACTTCCATATCATCAACCCGTCGAAAAAATATGTAATTTTCATGTGCATATTTCTTAGATAAGAATAAAATTTCTTCTCATAGTTCTCTTCTCTTATTGATATCTATTTATTGACCTCACTTTCGGTTGAGGTCTAGAAATTTCTTTAGTAGTCTAGGTCTAGCCATAGGACTTTCCTACTGACTAGTCTTAGAAAACTAGAAAGGTACCCTCACCATTAGAAACTCAAAACTCTTCTCTTTACTCAACTTGAAGTTCCACATATTGGTCTTAACCTCTAGCACTTAGTAGGTAAAATCATTATGAGGGAACTCAAGGAGAGTTCCTATAGGGTTACTTGACCTTAGGATTGACCCTGGGTGTTGGTTTGGAGCTAAGGTATACAATACCCTCACCATACCCTGGCTAAGACCAATACATAAGTCACCATACCCATACCCTAGGTATACCATACTCTCACAATACCCTGGCTAAGACTAATACATGGGGACCCAAAATAGAGATTTCATTGGTCCATGACTCATTCAAAATGGTTCTCTACCCAATTGCACTTGAAATGCCCAA